GCAGATACAGAGAAAAGAGAAGAGAAGAAAGAGAATAGAAGAGAAAATGAGAACGACGAATAGAAAGAAAAAGAAAGAGAATAAGAAGAAATTGAGAAGAGAGATTCGACCATTATATAAGTTCTATAAATTTCATCATAAATCGAATAGATAAATTTTCAATTGTATATTCGAAGATAGATCCCGCGAGATTCTCGTAGATGTTATAGAATTAAAATAACCCCTTTTATGATATGAATTATATAGATAAATCTATAATAAATTAATCCGATTATGAAGATAATAATGATAGATAAATAAAATATATAATTAGATATAATGATATAGATCTAGATATTAATCTAATTTTTCTTCTATTCATTTTCTTCGATATATAATATCTCACAAATATAAGATCTTTATGAATTTAGGTCGATTTTAGATTTATAAATCTTATCGATCTATTATTCGAGATATAAAAATCATATTCATTTCAGCAATTAAATAATGAAGAGACGAGATTCATATATAAATTGAGAAATTTGTCCCCACTCAATTTTTTTAGAAAAAGACCATGAATCAAATCTCGACCCGATTCGATATCGGTAATCCGAGGCCATCTAACGATGTATCGTAAATCTCAATAGCGCCAGGACACCATTTCGAGGCCGAAATATCGACAACAAATCGTATTTCTCAGTACTAGGGCGCAACTTCTAAACCAAAACAATGGCAAAAACGTATTTCTTAACATTGATACATAATTTCGAAATCAACTTAACGGCGCAAAACCTATTGAAACACCATTTTGAAGTCAAAATAACGATATCAAATCGTACTTCTTAAAAACCACAAACGAAACAAATCGCACTTCTTTGCACTAGGACAACACTCCGAGACCACAAATAATAGCTATTCATCGCAATTCTTATCCCTGGCGCACCACTTCGAATCCACAAATAATGGCAACTTTGGGGCATCACTTCCGAAATCACAAATAGCGGACACAAATATTGGGCACCACTTTGAAAATACAAACAGTGGCGGCAACAAATCATACTTCTGAACACTAGGGCATCACTTCGAAACCACAAACAGCGGCAAGACATCGTGCTTCTTAGCACTAGGGCACCACTTCGAAACCACAAACAACGGCTATAAATCGTATTTCTTAGCATCAGGGCACCACTCCAAAACCACAAGCAACGACAACAAACCGTACTTCGCAACACTAGGGCACTACTTCGAAACCACGAATGACGACAACAAATCGTACCTCCTAGCACTGGGGCCACCAACTCGAAACCACAAATAACAGCAACAAGTCGTACTTCTTGGCACTGCGCCACCACTCCGAACCCACAAACGGCAGCAAATCTTACTCCTTGGCACCGGTGCACCACTTCCACAGCACAAAAAACGGCAACAAATCGTATTTCTCAGCACTCGGGCACCACTTCGAAACCACAGATAACGGCTACAAATCGTACTTCTTAGCACTGGGGCACCACTTCGAAACCATACGTAAAGGCAACAAAATCATACTTTTTAGCCCCGGGGCACCAATTGCAACGGCAAGGAATGGTACTTCTTAGCACTTGGGCACAGCATTGAGGCAAAAATAACGGTAACAAATCGTGTTCCTTCGCACTGGGGCACCGCTTCGAGGACAAATCAACGGTAACAAATCGTACTTCTTCGCACTGGGGCACCGCATCACCTCGTATTTCTTAACAGTTCCAAATCAAGACAACTCCAATAAATCGCACTTCTTAGCCCTGGGGCACCGCAAATTCAAACATACCGATACAAGTCACATGTCCCCTGAATACCCAGGTCTTCCATTGTAGTTTAGGGTTTAGGGTTTAGCTTCCGTACCTTCAGTGAAAGTTGAATCCCTAATACTATGGAGTATTCCTGAATCAAGGGAATACTTAGAAGATCTGAGTTGGTACTAAGGTACTCATACTGTTGATGATAAAAAACCCTGCATTACCTTAAGGATCCTAAACTCTGAGAATTATGGTCTACGTATTCCTTATTATGGGAGATGGCTAGAGGCCGCAGGGCTGAGATTGAGACCTGGGTTGAGTACCTGGAAGTTTTCCTTCCACGGCGAGCTTTGTTTGATGACCGTATTCCAGGAGAGATCCAATCCTATATGGTCAGAGACAGTACTATCCAGAACATTGGTTTGTCGAGGGGTCTCGATGCCCTTCCTTCTTGGGGTTCCCTATTATGAATTCCAAATAGACATCCGTAAACAACAAGGTTATTTAGGGTCCAGGTCCGGTTGCAGGTGTTGGGTTGAAGACTGGTTCCCTCTTTATTTAGCCCTAAACGCACGAAAGCTGGATAACGAAGCTCTACCCACAATCACCATGAATCCCAAACCGCTATTGCATCCTCGTTATAGCCTTATCTATAGCACCCTTTTTAAGGAACCCTTCTAAGATCCTTAATAAAACCCCCTGATATAGAAACCTGAAAATTACACGAGTAAGAATCTCATTCCTCAGTGTTCCTTAGTGTGCCATGCCAACGATAACAAATAGTACCTCTTAGCGGTGGAGCACCGGCGGATCATTCTCGGGATCATCTTGAAATATCTTGGCTAACTTGCCTTGCGCCCTGGCGTAAGACTTGATCGTTCTACTTGTCAATTCGTTCCAAAACCATCCGTCTCTATAAAAGCATTTGAGCAGAGAAGATACCGATACGGAAAGATCCGAATGGCTATCGATAAAGACGCCATTCGTTATTATCCCCTCTTTATTGGAACCAATATGTTCTGATCAGGTACATATTGGGCTGTACGTTGTGTACATATATATATATACACACACATTAACATATACTATATAATTATATATCATCGTGTGAAATGGATGTTTTTCGCAAGATCCTGGCGATCTCTCAAAAATGGTCAGAAGAATGTTGACATATCTAGATGAAATTGATCAAGATCTTAACACCAAAACACCCCTCAACCCTTCTCCCTATTCGCCAAGAGATCTGAAACCCACCACATCTGAAGCCGCACAGACGGTGAGACCCGCAGTGCCCTCTCAATGCTACGTTTTTCTTTGCCCTGAGGTTTGGTTTAGGGGCTTTTGACCTGAGGGTGTCGGGTTTTGATTCAGACTTTAGTGCTTGTGTAAGACGAGCCTGCAATCCTCAGGGACTTGACCTTCCCGAGCAGCAAACTTTGCCGGGATGATTAGGGCAAAACGTCTCTCCGTCTCTCTGGCTCAATCTCAGATCGGTGGCTCGATAACCTAAACCCTAAACCCTATAGCAGAGTCCTAGGGCTAGCCAATGTAATGCTTTTGGTCACGAGATGTGGCTGATCCGAGTCGCGCATCAGCGCGTGCACGTGCACAACTCTCGTGAGCTGGTGTCAGGATACTCTGGAAGCTCGGAGCCTCATGGCGGCTGCTTCGGGTTTATAGGGTTTATAGGGTTTATAGTGTTTATAGGGTTATATATTAGGGTATGCTTCCGGAAGCTAGCAGAATAGTATGTGGCCATATAATTAGAATAGGGTTTGTACTATATTGTACGTATTTTACTATGTTACACTGTATTTTGCATTATTCTGCTTTAATATACTATACTTATTGAGGAAACCCCCTAGATAGTGTTGGGAATTATTTAAGCCCTTACAGTAACGTTGCGGAGCTGGGGCTGTTGGATTCAAGGTTGTTTCTGGTACCCAGGGACTCCAGAACAGTTTAAAGTTATATTCCTTACTATAGGGGCCTCAATAATTACCAATACTATTTTGTGAGTTCCTTACTATAAATATAGTATAATGGGCCCCAAAACCCTATTCTAATCATTAAGGCCACCATGTTAATTAATGAGGGTTTTTTTGGGGGAGTATTGAGTCTAGGGCGTGTCCGGCCTGCATCCGTTTGTGGCTTCAGGAATCAGAGCCCGAAAACAAGAGTCGGGGCACACCCCATTCAAAGCGGGGCAAAGGGAGACTACGTAAAGGCGCCAACGGCACTCATGCAAAGCATCTAGAACCTGTAAATCGTGCAAACCTCTGTAGGTTCTCCCATGTGGTATTTGTACGTTCCTGTTTGAAATATCTGAAAGTATGGGCTTCTTTGCTAGAAACCGCCTCGGAGGTCATAACTTGATCTGAAGCAGGGACACAGTTCCCGTGGAACATATCAAGGAAGTGCACTATCTCCCCTTGAGATTTCTGCGAAGAGACTCATCCCCCCCAAGACTTCGACTGGTCTGGCACAATAGTTTTCCGCAGTTCCAGCGCTTTTGCAGCTTCAGGGCTTTAGACGTTCACTACTGTATAGACGCCTTAAACATTAGAATTGGGTTGGGGGTATAGGTATGTTCTACTATAATGATAATAAGGAACCCCGCAATAGTATTGGTAATTCTTCAGGCCCACAAAATATGCCGAAATCCTTCGATCCATGTTTGGCATTTTCTTGTAATTATGGCCCGAAGCTGTCTGCCCCAGCGCTTTGCAACTTGAGCACTTAGGATTTAGGGCGTAGGGCTTTGATGTTTAGGGCTTACCCAGAGGATCCATAGTAGTTCCTTTTTGGGATTACCTTGTAGGAATCTATATATGAAGCCCCAAAAGGAACTACTATCCCAAAGGGTCCAAGTATTAATTATCATATACTCTCCAAAATAGTAGCCTACATAACGACTATGCTAAAGCCGAGTATCTAATTATTAGGTGCTTTGGACCCTTCGGGTATGGCGCCTAGGTCTTACGGCTTCTAGGGTTGAGGGTTTCTAGGGTTCTTAAAGGGCTCCTTAAAGGGATCTATAGGGCTCCTTAAAAGGGTTCTATGGGGTTTAGGGTTTAGGGTCTACTTGAAGGCTCATGGGACTTAGTAAGTAAGGTTACAAGTAGCTTATAATTAAATTAGGATAACCCCTCTTAGGGGACTTATAGTCCCAATTATAACCTACTTACTAAGTCCCAGGATCCTCCAAGTAGGGTTCAGGGTTGAGGGTGCCTCGACCGAGGGCCACGCAATTCGCAGAGGCCGTGCCTCGGCTTGGATCTTTGCCCACAGGCCCCATAGTAGTTCCTTTTTGGGGTGCATACTTAGAATTCTCTGAGGCAATCCCAAAACGGAACTACTATGGGGTCTATGGGTAGAGTATCGAATTTCAGGATTTAGGGCTCAGGGCGGCTACTAGGGTTCAGGGCTTTGGCTTAGCACTTGCTCCTTTCGCTCTGGGTTTAATTATTGTTTTGTACTTGTTCGTTGTTCGTTTCTACTACATACTCTTGCCAGTCTCACTCCTGTCGATCATCTTGCTGCTATAACCTCACGGGTAATGCACTAGCATTGTGCCCGCTTGCGCTATGATTTGCTTCATTGCTGCTTTTGTGACAGCTGCTGCCAATACTGCTACGGCTTCTACGGCTACAGCGGCCATTGCTTCTGCTGCTGCTGGTGCTGTTGCTGCTGCCTCTGCTGCTGCTGCTGCTGCTGCTGCTGCTACTGCTACCGTTCTGCTACTGCTACCGCTACTGCTACCGCTGCTGCTACTGCTACTCCTACTGCTACTGCTACTGCTACCACTACTACTACCACTACTGTTGTGGTTACTTTGTTATATTGCTTGGCCACTACAGTTTACAAGTGTGAGCATGATCAGACTCCTTTTGCAAATGTTATACTGGTATCTAGACTCGTGTCTCCATCAACCTGATGCGTGTTATCTGACGGCTTGACGTATATAAGGGGGACGACGAAGGACCCTGAGCATTTGAGAGCGAAATGGCTGTGGAGTGGCGGTGGGAAGCAATCCGCCTGCAAAAGCTCATGTTTCCGGATCGGAGAACTACGTGCGGGCTCATCAGAAAGGCTGCGCAAAACATCATTATGCACATAAATTTAGCTTGAACTACTACAAACTGTGGTTGCGAAGTTTGGAGGGGCAAAGGACTTAGAGGTGGTACTGAAGCTCAGTAATCAAAGCAGCCCGTTGCAAAATGCATGGGGCTGCTAAAACCATCTGCAGCAGTGAGTTTCGTATCAAAACACAGCAGAACGCTGCAAACGACTAGTCACTAGTAAGTGTGCAATGTTGTTGGGCCGAGGCCCACGTACAAATTGCAAGAATGACCTTGACGATCAATCTGACGGGAATTCGAGTAGTTTCAGCCAGCAAACAGGGCACCTCCTCTAATCAAGCGACATTGCCTTTTGCAGAACTCCCGCTTCTGGATTGGCGGGATCCGACGGAAGGAGGGCTTCGGGTTTAGAGGATAATGGGTCTAGCCTGAAAGTGTAATGCCTGGGGTTTGGGATTGGGGAGTTTCCTAGTGCTGGTCGAATGATAAGAACCCTACCAATTACGTCAGGCTTTCTGAGTTTCTGAAACCCCCCTAAGTTAAAGATGAAACAACCGAATTCTTATGGAGCGTTACATCTTGCACCCATGATACCTCGCGATACCCATTCCCATACTACCTATACTGCGCGTACAATGTCCCTTTCTCTTTAGACCCCAAACCTCAAGCTCTTCCAGGATTTCTGGGTTCCTCGGGGCCGCGCGCATGCAGTCCATGTTCACCTCGGCGGTTGGCGGGGATCTTTTTGGGGCTCGGACACAGGCAACGGCTGCAAAGCTCATGAGGGACGCGCAGTAATCATAGGCCAGGCTCCGTGTATTGTGCTGAAGAGCCGTAGCTGCACCCTCGTATAAACCCAGAGACTGGAAGCTGAAGCTCTCAACCCAAAACCCCCGGTTAGGTTGACCTAAGCATGTCGACTCGCTCCGGAATTGCTGCAATTGGAGGCCTTAAAAGCTGCCCACGGATGGAGGTATGTAGGACTACGGACCCCTTCAAGATAAGGACTCTTATGCGGGATTACTCCACAAGGGCTTTCCTTATTGAAAAATCCAAATACCCTACAAATCCTAGAAGTTCAAGCCGGGGCACATTCAGCCACTCATTAGTCCACTCTTGCTCCACCGAGTCGATCTGACAGGGTTTAAGGCGTGGTAGGGTTTTGTGTTCAAGGTTTAGGGCATAAGGGCTGGGCCTAGTACCCATATTCGGGAGTTTCCGAAAATAGGGGACCCTAATATAGTACCCTTATTATAAGGACCACCAAAATAAGGTACCCCTAACTTTTCGGAAGCTCTAAAACCCTAAACCCTAAAAGGGCGTGGTAGGGCTTAGCGTTTATAAGCTCTAGGAAGTCCTGGGGTTCAGGGTGTGGTCGGGTTTAGGGTTCAAGGTTTAGCATAAAGGGCGTGGGGACGTAGTACAGTTTGGGGTTCAAAGTTTGGGGTTTGGGGCTTGTCAGACTGAATAATGTAGATCCCGGGTTAATAGACCACCCTTCCCGAAGAACCATTTTATTGGGATCCTCATTATAAACTTGGTTCAGGGAGTCTGCAATGCCTTAGCATACGTGAGCAGTACAACATGAAACTGAGGTCTGACACGTGTGAGCACTTCAACATGAAACTGCAGTCTGCTTCTTTCAGATTTCTAACAAGACAATTTCGTGGATGAGTTCAATATAGTTACGAAGGACAACCAGTTTTGCTCAGAAGATGTGGAAACTGAAGGGTCAAGTGCTTCACTACAGTCACTGTAGTGGTTAATGTTGTAGTCTGTCATCTGACATGTCCCATCATGTCAACTCAAACTGCGCTATATGGCGCCGTTCTAGTCTCGAAGTACTCTAATGGCTATTGAGCGGCTTTAACACTTGGAATAAGGTTTTGGGGCCGATTTTACTATACCTGCAATAAGGAACCCCCCACAGCACTGTTGGCAATTGTTTAGGCCACTATAGTAGACGGCAGTCCTGGTTCTACGAGAGTCGAAATGTATGCAGTAGAGAATCGGCGAATTAAACGATCATACCTACGGTGTCCTTGGCCAAAATGCCTTGAACTACATCACCTTCGATTATGTTGAACCAGTGCATATGCATACATATATGCAGAGAGAGAGAGAGAAAGACACACATGCTGCACATGAATATGTACAGAATTGTATACATACACACAATACATGTACATAGTATGTGCAATACATATGTATATATATATATATATATATATACATATATATATTTATATATATATATATATATATATATATATATATTCTGTCTGATTGATTAAATTGCTGATTTATTTACATGATTTTACTATTTATCGATTCAAGCGTGTTTGTGTGTGTGTGTGTGTGCGCGCACCGCGCAGAAATTGCTGGACTTCTCGAAACCTGCAACTACTGTCCAGATCCACAGCCCCAGCCTGAAATGCTTTGTGAAGCCATGTCAATCTCAAAAAATGGGGCGGGGGACATTATTTTGGGTCCTGATAATAAGGGGGGTACCTTATGTTGGGTTCTGATATTAAGGGGGTACCTTATTTGGGGGGTTCTGATGATAGGGGGGTACCGTATTTTGGGTTCTGATAATAAGGATCCTATTGTTTAGGGTATTATATTAGGGTCCCACATTTTCGCAAACTCCCATGTCAATCTCAAAAGGTCCTGAAAAGCCCTAACTGCTGAACCCCTTAAACTCTAAACTCTAAACCCCAACCCCAAAATCTCCTAAAGCGCCCTCCATTTCAAAGGAGTGCGACTGCGGGATTCAAGCGTTGAAGTTCAGGGTTTAGGGTTTAAACTTTAACCCTGAATCCCAAACTGTAAACCCTGGACCCTAAACTGTCAAGCCTGTGGGAAATGGTCACACATGGAGAAGGTCTCGCACTTTGCGGGGCCCTCAGCAGATATTCTGTAGGATTTCAGAACCCATTCGGGTTGATGGGTTAGTAGGTGTCATAGGGCAACTAGGGTGCGGAGTTTCGGGTTGAGGGTTGTCAGGGTTCGGGGTTTAGAGTTTGATGTTTGATATTTAGGGTTTATGTAGGGTTCTGATATGGGCAGATGAGGGGTCCTTGTTCGACGGGTCATCATAAAACGGACCCTACAACTAAGTGCGCGCAATCAGAGCCTTTAATTTCTGCAGCTCTCAGATGGTCATGAGAGAGTCCCCGAAGCCCTTATGAATCTTCCTCAGACCCCCATCGTAACCTTAAGATTGTAACATGCTATGTTGCTTGCGGAAACCTCGACCGACTTCGGCGACCTGGAAAAAATCCTGAACCCCATCAGCGTGGCTCTGAGGAGGTTCTTTAGGGTTTACGGTTTAGGGTTGGCTCTGAGGAGGTTCATGTAGGGTTTTAATGATTAGGATAGGTTTGGGGTAGATTATGCTATAAGTATAGTAAGGACCCCTCCAAAACCTATTCTAGTTGTTAAGGCCCCTACATTGCCATAGAGGCCATAGAGCTTCATGCGCAACAAGGTTTCGGAGTCAGTATCTTGTATGACATGTTACTTGTGAGGACTACGTTGGGACTTTGCGCCTGTCAACAGTTGTCGCGACCCCTATGCTACCAGTGTAAAAAACATCCCCGCCGACAATGTAGTTCGTAAACGAGGGTTTAGGGACGCCGATTTCGGACGCAGTTTTTGTTTAGGGTTTTCGTGGGCACTAACTAAAGGCTCGGTGCCAAGAGTTCGCATGGCCGCCCCAAGCTGGCCAAATTCTTGATGGTTCAGCAAATGCGCCCGAAAGTTGATACGGGCTAGCGTCTGCAAGGAAGAAGGCCAATGTAGGGGCCTGAATAGTTAGAATAGGCTTTTGGGGCCCAGAATAAATACTATACACATAACAAGCAACCCCCAAAATGGTATAGGTAACAAATTATGGCCGCTAGAATACAGGGCTGTCGCGCTCTTCGACTCTTCGATGGACAAGTCGGAGGCGTTCGGCGAAATGACATCTGTGCAAGCACCAAAACCCTAAACCCTAAACCCTATAGCCCTAAAGCCCTAAAACCCTATAACCCTAAAAATCTATAACCCTAAAAATCTATAACCCTAAAATTCTATAACCCTAAAATTCTATAACCCTAAAGCCCTAAACCCTGAACCATGAGATCGGGTTTTCCAGATTTGAAGCTCTCGTCGTAGGACACAGTTCCCAGGAGCCTTTGGCTCGCGTTGTAGATTGCTTTGTTTAGGGTTTAGGGTTACAGGGTTTTGGGTTTTAGGATGTTTTAGGGTTTAGGGTTATTAAAAATCCGGGCTTAGGGTTATAGGGTTTTCGGGTTTAGGGTGTCGGGTTGTAGAGTTTCAGGGTTTAGGGTTCTAGGGTTGTAGGGTTGTAGATTTTTAGGGTTTTGGGGTTTTAGGGTTTTGGGGTCATAGGGTTTCGGGTTTTGGGCTTTAGGGTTTTGGGGTTTAGGGTTCTAAGGTTTTAGGCAGCAGTGAAATCGCCAGCGATGCTTTTCGCAGGCCCATTGCCCATTGATGTGCGTCATGCACTGCTTTCGCCGAAGGGCGATGTCCTTCAGCAAGATCGGCAGTGGGCGCTGCAACGCAGAACTCTGGCTGGTAGCAGGCTTTCGTGTTTCGCGAGCGCTTTAGAGCGCTGCCTTTCATTACCCCTTGAGTGTAAGTGCAATTGCGGAGAATCGCCCAGGACTTGCTTGTGCCACCAGGCACCAGGCCCTGTTACTATGATATTGAATCTTAGCCGTTGGCCTTTCCCCGAGCTTTTGTCTCGTAGTCCACCTCCTTGATCCCTAGGCCCTACCGCCAATACGCGCTTAATCTGGGTGCTTACATTGGAACTCAGATTCATGAGACCGGCATACCTTTAAGTTTAGTCTAAACCCAAACGCCTCAAATGATTGGACGTCCAAGACGAGGACATTAAACACTCTCCCAAGCAAATATGCCGACGGACAGACACACTCTCTCTGCAAAAAGTCCTCAGTGTGAGGCAAAGCCTCAACGACTTAAGACTTAAGGTCTGCCCAATTCTAAACCCGAAACTTCTTCAAACTAACAGGAGAGTCAACACCTATCACCCGCGATCTTGAAGCTTAAACCCTCTCTTGGAGGCGAGCGGATATCCGGCTTCCCTTGGCTGCTGTCTTGTTCCTCTGCGGCCTCAGCCAGAGTTCAGACCACGGAGGGGGCCCTTCTGAACCGTGGGGAGTTTATAGGTAACAATCAGAATAAGGTTTTGGGGCCCATTATACTATAACTATAATAATTAAGCAACCCCCCAAAATAGTATAGGTAATTAATTAAGGCCCCTATAGTAGTGTTCTTGAGACCAGGCTCCGCGAGTTTTGGGGTTTAGGTTTAGGGTTTATCCGTTTAGCAGTTTATGATTTCTCAGACTCCCAAATTCGTACAACACGGCTTTGTCTGGAGATGTACATGACGGGACAAGAGACGGCAACGCAAAGTAAATTTTCTAAACAGGCTACGAACACGGTAGACGACTCACAGTGGAGCCATGTAGTGCTCCAGCCATGTAGCAAGACAGTACAGCGATAATAATGGCTGTTATAAAGATTGGAAAACACACCTGCCATGACATGATTGCCAAAGGTGCTCCGTCAGCATGGTACATGCAGCTGCTAGAGCATGACCGAGAACGATGAAGCCACTGACAACGGCAAGGGTACCACGATGCTGGCGACGACAAGGATGACGCCGATGAGAAACAGGACCAGCATGCAACACCCATGCGTAGGTGGCCAAGCCAAGGATACAGTGCATAGCAATAGTAGTGAAACCTCGGAGCTTGGTTATTACCCATCCAACCAACTACAGGCTGTACATGAGCGCTTAAGACTCAACACCAAGACTTGAAATCAAGCGTCTTGTTCATCTGCTTCTGCCACACGGGCACACAGAGGGCAAAATCAGACTGACAAAGCTGTTTGGGCATACCTGGCTCGAGGGCTCATTAGGGTTTAGGGTTTAGGTTTTTTGTTTGGACTCCTTTTTCCTAGAGGCTGCGAGCTGCGTCTGCTAGAAAGGGCTTAGACTTTAGGGTTTAGGGCTTAGTTCGGGTTTAGGGGGCTTAGGTTTTAGGGGCTCAGAGCTTCTTCAAAGGGATCCAGGAAGGTTCCATAGGGGTTCTAAAAAAAGGATTCTACATCTAAATCGGATCTACAGGGTCGGTCCAGGCTTAGGATTTAGGCTCAGATTTGAAAAGGGATCTGTATGGCTTTACTAGGACTTGATCTGGTTGTAGTTCTGTTTTCTTCTTTACGTAAACGAAATTTAAGAGTCTGTCAAGGCTCGAGGTTTCAGGCTTGAGGGTTTAGAGCTTGACGGCTTTAAGATGTCGTTGGGTTGTGGATTCTGTGCTTTTGCGCTCCATAGAGACTGGCACCTGGGGGCAAATATGGCAGATGAGTCTGTGGAAGTGGCTCTTGAGATTTTCAAGAAGGACTGGTGGACATCACATGGGAGTTCCCGAAAGTAGGGGATCCAAATATAGTACCCTAAATAGTAGGATCCTATTATAAGGACCCCCAAAAAAGGTACCCCTTATTTTCGGAAACTCCCACAGTCTCCCACATCACCCTTGAGAAAACCTACTTTGAACATGTCTGTGCCATGCGCAGCATAGCCGATTGCACTACCAATGTTCACCATCGTCCTTGCATGCAGACTAACGCAACCCTAAACCCTAGAACAAATCCTAAACCCTATAGAACAAACCCTTAACCCTAAACCTAGAACAGATCCTAAACCCTAAAGAACAAACCCTAAACCCTAAACCTAGAACCAATCCTGAACCCTAAACCTCGAACAAACTCCAAACCCTACATAGCCCAAAAGTGCCCAAAAAAGCCCAGAAGCCGAGAACGAAGTCTGAACCTTCGAAACCCCGAAACACACTTAGAGGATCAGGGGACTTAGTAAGTGGGTTCTTAAAGGGCTCCTTAAAGGGGATCTATAGGGTTCCTTAAAGGGATCTATGGGGTTTTGGGTTTAGGGTCTACTTAGAGGATCAGGGGACTTAGTAAGTAAGGTTATAAGTCCCCTAACTGGGGCTCTAAGTAGTTATAAGTATAGTTACCTTAATTATAACCGTATAGTTTCTAAGTCCCATGATCCTTTAAGCACCGGCCTTCTACGCCGTAGCGGTTGTCCTGGCTCATGCAGGGCTTTGGGTTGTGGTACCCAGAGACTCCAAAACCCCTTAATCAAGTACTTATTGTATATAACGTATAGTAAACTTCTTGCCATAGTTGAAAGCATGTTCCTGAACTAAAGAGTTTTGGAGCCTCTGGGTATGTGCTGCCCTGGCTATGTTTCGAGTTTCAACGGGCAGGATTTCGGGCGCAGGGGTGTCGGAGGTGCCCAAGGCCTAAAGCCTAAACCGACCCTAAAGATCGGGGTAGGGCTGTCGGACTCATACCGAAGGCCTATCACGAAACGCATTCCGCAGACCTGCTGAAAATCCAAGACTGCATCCCTAGGAGGATGCTGTTGGAGCACTTCACCTTGTACCTACGTCCCGAGCCCTGAAACCACGTCTAAAATTTGCAAATCCTGGACCCAAACAGTCAAGTTAATACAAGCTTGAAAAACTGGATTGGGGTTTCGGGATTCAGACTTCTGCATTGGCACTATATATCGGATCTGGGATCGGAGCTGCAACGGGGCTCGACAGGAAAAGTCTTATTGTCACGCCCTCAGCATTCCAGCTATATAACCCTAAATCAACACTACGCTACAAACCGAACTGACCCTGCTTCTCCCAACAACCTGTTGACGCAAACTCGATACAATTTTGCAAACTTTAGGTGATATCCTACGGATTCCTTGGGGCAGCACCTTAACTCTAGAAGCAAGCACTCTTGAAGATTCTTCCAGAACACGCACACAGAAACCGTATACAACGCTTGTGATTGCGGCACTTGTTTGACCTTGCGATGGGAGAAAAGCCCTTGCGCCGTAACGCCGAACACCCTTGAGCTCAGTAGCACAGAGGCACCTGGAGGTGTCCGAAAAAAGGGGACCCCAATATAGCACCCTAAATAGTAGGATCCTTATTCTAAGGACCCCCAAGATAAGGTAACCCACTAATTTTCGGAAACTCCCATATCCTAAACCCTGTAGATCCCTTTAAAGAACCCTTAAAGGAACCCTTATAGATCCCTTTAAAGGTACCCCCCAATTTTCAGAAACTCCCCGCCTCTGTACTACCCAGCGTGCGGCAGCCGGTGCTGGGATCCAAAGTGAGCCCTGCACATCGGGCTCGGGGGCTTCTATGCTTCAAGGTTTTGATGCTGCAAGGGTTCAGGGTTTAGGGTTTGGGGTTTGGGTTTAGGGTTCTATTCACACCTTTTTCTGCAAGGTTCTGTGAGGGTTCTATGAGGGCTTTATACTATTAATGTGTAAAGGTTCATGGCTTACGAAGACATTAGCTTAATCAAAAGGTTTAGAGTCTCCAGCGATTCGGGTGAAAAACACATTATAGGGTCGAGGGATTGGGGTTTAGAGGTTAAGAGTCGCGGGACTCTTCATACCCGAACAGGCCCAACCCTAAGCCCCTGGAGGCCAGAAACGGTGGGATGAAAGAAGGTAGGATTGAGTTTCCAATACAAGGACTTTTATGGGGGATTACCCAACCTACCTTCATCCCACCAATGGAGCCCCTTGCAACCCCCTGAAACCAAAACCCCAAACCCAAAACCTACCTGTGGCTTGGGATCCGGTCGGTCAAAACTGTCGTAAAACCCGGCTTCTGCCAACCGTGAGAGGGTTGTTCCGAGAAGTTACAACACTAAGCCAGAAACCCTAAACGATCTAAACCCTCCATGTTAACTCTACAAAGGGCTACAGGGCCGGGCTTGCCGGGGAAGGATGGGGTTCTAGCTCTTCGTGAGGGGTTTTATCTCCCGTGTTTCGCATGCCTGCCCATCAGCTTGATTTAAAGGTAGTTGTTCCCGTCTTTTCTAGAATAAATCCCAAACCCCCGCCCGTAACGCGCAAACTAATGATTGCGAACGCCTCAAGCCCTCGCCCCATGTGTGGATTATCGTCGTTAGCAAGATTATCATGACTGTCATTATTGGCACTATTGCTAATTTGGTCACTATTAACTTACTAACCCGGATCGTCATTACAGTCACTACCCTTATTCTGGGTTGGGTCGATCTAGGCTTTCAGTTCTGGCTCAGGTTTGCCGCGTTGCGTTTAGGACTGGTGTTTGTGTCGGAAGGTTTGGTTTCGGGCTGAGGGCTTATGGTTTAGTGTGGAGGTTTAGGGTTTACAGAGCTCGTTCTCTGATTAGGAAAAGGATAAGCGGCATCTTGGGATATCCTATTCGCTAACATGGGTGAAGACGTGCTTGAACGACCTGTCGCCGGATTGTAATCATAGAAGATCTCCAGGATCTGGTTGTTGTATGGCTTTCCTGGCTCGGGTTTAGGGTGTAGGGCTTAACAACTCAATTTTTTGGCATCGTGCTCGATGTTTCGGGGTTGGTGCTTCACATCACAACAAGACATGAAGAACAAAGCCCCTGGAAAGCTCCCAATTATCATATCATGTTTACGACTAGTCTTCTTCTGATTATGCTCATGGTTGCAGCTACTGTTGGTATCACTCGTACCAACTATCATCCTAAGGCATGTACGTGATCGCCTATTGGCTTGAGCTTCATATGTAAACTGACTGAGGACATCCTTCCGACGCGGTGCTCGCATCTACCTCTATTCAGGCATCCCCGCAGCAAGCCCTTTACTTTAGATTGCACATGCTTGTCTTGTTTAGGGTTTGGGGATTGTTCCGGGTCAGTGTGCCGTGCTCTTTGCTGGTCTGACCATGTCCACTATGATTACGAACATAAGCCCCCAAAACCCACGCATTCTACCTGAACTGCATCCCTCAACATTGCACGCTCACGAGCTGCTCTGCGGCCCTGCATGTACGGTGGAAGCAGGGATAGGGTTTAGGGTTCAGGGTTTAGGGTTGAGGTGATTTAGGTGCAGACTCAGCACACTCCAAATGGCTAGTTCCTGATGTCACAGTGGATGTACAAACCTGTACTACTCTTGATATGGTTGTCTATACTGCATGTCTAGCAGTCGCATGCCTGCTGACGACAGTAGCAGAATAATTTCCTGCTCCCGTGCTCCGAATTGCTACAGTGCTCGGCTTCGAAAGTCTTCAATTGGTACAACCTTCTGCCCTCGAAGCCTAGAACTCTCAAAGTATCTTCCGAAGACATCCGGTAAAGCCAAGCGTCCGGGATTGCCTCGGATGTATCGAGCAGAGATGGTCATTTGTAGGAGCTACCACAGATCACTACCGAATCTGAAATCCAAACCACGGCCGGCAAAACCGTAATATCCTCAAGCCTCACAAAGAATCTTAAACCTTGCACCCTGAACCCGTCAAAACTAAAACCCACTTCAACAAGTCTTCACACGCCTACTTGGTACATTCGCTTGGGTCATACGCAACTGTGAGTATAGCTACCTCCAGGACCCGAAACCGTGCAAGTAAACGCACATTGAAAGAAAGGCGGCTTGAACTTCTCTGCCGGAGCCGTGGACATTTGGCTAATTGAAGATGCCGACATGACGTAGTTCTACTTGGAGGGGCAGGGGACTTTGTAAGTAGGTTATAAGTAGAGTTATAAGTATACCCTAAAGGGAGTTACCCCCAATTATAACCCTACTTATAACCTACTAACTAAGTCCCCTGGCCCTCCAAGTATAGTGTTTTTGAAGGTTTTTTTATTGGTTTTGTACCAGGCGCCTTCAGGAAGCAGAAGAGGGTTTTGAAGGTTCTTGCAAGAGTTCGAAAATACATGGTCCAATACAGGGGGCTTAATCATTGGAATAGGATCTAATGTAGGAGCCTGATTAAGAAGCCCTGGGCCTATAGCCCCAAAATAGTAGGGTTCATAAACAAGGAACCCCAACAGAGGCCCAAGGTTGCTTGAAAAGGTTCCTACGTTGGAGTCCTTCCTGTCTTATCGGCCCCCGGTACGATGTGATTGAACACAAGCGTTGCGAAATGATTTCTGTCTGCGCCGCCGTCCTTTGCGAATCCATAGCAAATGCCCAAAGCAAATCACTCACGCCGAAGCGCTACAGTCCAAAATCCCAAAGCCCCAACAAATCCTACACCCTAAACCCTGAACCCTAAACCGAAATCGACAGCCCGAAGCCCTAAACCCTAGGAGCATGCAAGGAGCCCTTACTGTCCGGCGGCATCTCCCCGACACCTCGATCTCGTGCTTTTTGCAAGCGGTTTGCTTCGTCATCCAGGGTTCAGGGTTTGGGGTTTAGGGTTTGGGGGGGTTTGGGGTTTGGGAGTTGCTGTACTTGGAGGATCAGGGGACTTAGTAAGTATGGTTATAAGTCCCCTAGTTGGGGTTATAAGTAAGTATAAGCATATAGTTACCTTATTTGTAACCCTAGTTACTAAGTCCCATGATCCTTTAAGCAGGGTTCAGGGTTTGGGAGTTACTGTAGGGAACAGCTTGGCAGAGGGTTCGGGCTGCGAGAATGGTGTGGGCTAAGATTGTTTTAAGTTACAAGAGAAGAATGGCACCCCTAAACCCTAAACCTAGTTTTCTTTTTCCTCTACTGTCAAGCTGGAGGCTCTATGGTTTCTATCTTTCTGGTAAACCCTACACACTGAACCCAAAACGATGAACCCTCAAACCGAGACCCTCCACAAAGCTTCGGCGTGAGAACCAGGGCTTGCAGCAAGCTGAGTCCACGGTCTATGGATGAGAAATTGGGCATGGGGCAAAGGGTTAAAGATCCGGGGCGTAGGATCCATAGGCTATGGGCGAGTTCAGAGGTTACGGCGTTCTCGAATCCAACCCGAAGCAACGAGAACCCTCCTGGAATCCTGGCTATAATCCAAAAGCAGCTCCAACCCCAAACCCTAAATCCCTAAACCCAAATCCATTCCGGCAAGCGTCAGATCTTCTCGCGCTCTGTACGCGTCTCTTTCCACAATATCCTGGAACAGCGACGAGTGGTTCTCTCAAGAGCCTTTCACATGTATATATATATATATATATAAAGAATATATATATATATATATATATATAGATATAGCAGTCTCAGAAGAGAAGTAATCACTGGTTTCGAGTATTCAAGGGTACGTATCTGCATGTCAATTCTGGGGTCACTACTATAGTAGCGATATTAAGGAACCCTAGAGAACAGGGTCAGTATATATTCAGTCCCCCCCCCCATGTCAAGTTGACGACAGTGTGTGTTGCCAGGCTGACTTTGCAGAGGACCGGACTTACAAGAAATGTCCGCTGCAGTCCCTGAGCTGACTGTGGAGTTTCGGGGGTTAGCAGCTTAGCGAATTGGAATTCGGGAGTTTCCGAAAATTAGGGATACCTTCTCTGGGGTCCCTATAATAAGGATCCTATTTTATAGGGTACTACATTAGGGTCCCCTATATTTTCGGAAACTTAGGAATCTGAGCCCGCTCAAACTCAAGACAGATAGAAGTGAGGTGAGCTCGCAAAAAACACGACCAGCTCCCACCTGAAACTGCAAACACTTCAACTTACTGCATGAACATTTAATTTAAGCATGGGCACGAACAACCTCGACCTGAATCAACTGCTGAACCTTAACCCCTCAAGCCAAAACCCTGCAACAGTGAAACCTAACTTTTGCGTAGTAAAGCCTGCACCATAAATCCTGACAAACCCTAACAGCCCTACCTAAACCCAACATCGAAGCTAAGATCCCGAGCCCGTAAACCTAAACACGAGATCGAAATCCAGATCCTAAGCCCTAAGTTTAAGCCCGAACCCCAAAATCGAAATTAAGATCCAGCAAAGGTGCGAGGTGCTCTCCTGACCCGACTCAATCGTCAAAAGCTTCGGTCTCTTTGAGGCTTTCAGGCTTCAGGGCTTCGATTTTTAGGCTTCAGGGTTTCGGGCTTTTAGGATTCAGAGTTCAGGGTTTCGGCTATAGGGGATAGGGTTTAGGGTTCAGGATTCAGGGCCTTTAGGTTCGGGTTTAGGGTTTAGGGTTTAGGGTTCAAGGCTTGCAGGGTTTAGGGTGCAACAGGAGCTCACGTATGGAAAACATGCAGTTCTATAGCTCTTGAGAGGTTTGGGCTTCAAGGTGGAGTACGGTCAAAGGCTTTGGAAAGAAGCGTTGTTTATGGTCGTAGCAGCAGCAAGAAGAATACTAGGTCATAGCAAGAATAATGCTTGCTTGGAAGGTTGTAGAGTCGTGGGAGCTCAGCGAGTTTTGGGTGCTTTGCTTTCGCGACCCTCTTGACAAAAGCGGCTCAACCCGGAATTTTGAAGTCTTCAAACTTATAGCCCTTACGAAACGAGGCTAGATAGTCAGGGGTCTATATTACGTAAGGGGCTTGAGCATACAGTGGCCTGGGCCGGCCCACGCATGAAGCCTACTACTTGAAGACTCATGAGACTTAGTAACTAGGGTTACAAATAAGGTAACTATAACGACTATAACTATACTTATAAACCCAATTAGGGCACTTATAACCTTACTTACTAAGTCCCCTGACCCTCCAACTAGTGATAACCCCGGAAGCACTCAAAGAGACTTCGGAAGGTAGCGTCACTATAAGGGGGTTGGCTTCAACGGTGTGCGCTGAAACCTCGCCCTAAACCTCTAAGGCAAAAATTCTAGACGATTCATCCCGAAATCTTGGGTTTAGAGTGAAGAGAGACGCGGCCAGGCTGGGCAGAGTGTAGGTGCATCGTATCGTATCGCATAGTTAGCGACCAATATTTTATGGTGTTCCATGTCAAAGGCTTAGGTGTAAGTTCTACGTCATAAGTTTAGGCATTAGTTTCCTACCTTATGCTGTTTATGTCGGGGTATAGATAAAGTATTCTGTAGAATATTATGTGTAGGTTTCTGTGGTGGCTTTGACGTCTTCGTCTTCAACGTCTCCGAGGTGCACATGACGAGTTTTATCATTCGCACTTCACTTCTTCAGGTTGTCTGTAAGCCATTCTGCGTCAGGACAAAAGCTTCAAATCATTCTTCTTTTCCGAAGCTCATCTTGCAGTTAGTTAGCATTATAGTATGTTTGGTGTTGTAACATACTATAGTATATTATAGAGCAGTTAAAGTTTTTCAGAGTAGAGCTCAGGGCTTGGGGCTTGAGGGATTTGGGAAAGCTTCGGGTTTAGTGACTTTAGTGTTTACAGCATGTTCTGTGTCGAATCAATTTGGCTATTGCGTTTCTTTTGAAGGGTTTTGGACGAAGGGTTTCAAGTTTCGGGTCTCAGGTTCAGGCCTTACGGCCAGAAATCCCGGAACCTTAAACCCCAAACTCCTCCCCCTGAGCCCCGCCGCCCCTAACTAAACCTACAAACCCTGCACACAGCACCCTAAACCCTAAACCATAGCCCTAAACCCTAAACCCTAAACCAAACCGCCCAAAGCCCGAAGACCGTAACCTTGAACCGTGAACCTTCGGAGCTTGGCTCGCTTCACTGGCGAGTCACTGCACGCCGGCCGATCGAGTAGCGCAAGAAGAGCGAGTGGGTGCCCACTCCCAAAGTATAGCCTTTTGGGTTTAGATCGTCAGGGTTTAGGGCTTTAGCGTTTAGGGGTTCTTTTAGCGTTTAGGGGTTCGAAGGGTTTGGGCATTGGGCTTAGATCCTAGGTCTTTTATATATGGTTTAGGGTTTTAGGGTCTAGGGTTTCAGGAATATAGGGACCGACCCCACATGCACTGCCTCTCACTGGTTCTAGAAAGGTTCCACAAGGGCTTTATAAGGATTCTGATTTAATAGGTCGCGATGTACACGCTTGTTATTGAACTTGACATACACGCTCGTTATTGAACTTCACAAGGCATTGTGGGGTGCCATCGAGTTTCACAGTGCGTGCTTCTTACAGGCTTTAGTGGCCGTCAACGCTTTGTAGGGTTTTGCGGGGCTTCCTAGGGGTTCTCCTGGGGTTCAGGGTGGCGCGTTTCAGATTTCAGGCTGAGCGTTTAGGATTTAGCACTTCAGGTTTAGGCTTAGCGGCATCAGGCTTACGTTAACAAGATTGTTTTCGACATCGGTTGAGTGTTCAGGGTTTAGGGAGGTGTTTCATCATGCCGCGACCTGGCTCCAGCCTGCTACTTCAGTACGTGGGCGACGGGCTTCAGGGCTTGGCGGCCCGTGCGCCGGATTACAAGTATCATCAAACATCTGTAAACCAACGGAAGGCAGCTTTGGGGTGTAAATTTCGGGAAGTTCTTCTACCTTAGATCTTTTCTCAAGCGGGAGCCCTGGCCTGTCATATGGGTAGTTCTCCAAATTAAAGTTTCCTTGTAGGTTCCCAATGCAATACGGGCTTATAAAACGGACCCTCAAGGGACCCTAATTTTAGAGAACTTCCCATGTCTACCATCCTAAGGCACGCCGCTGCTTGCAGGCAAAGACTGACACAAACTTGTAACTTGTAGCGCCCTCCTGGTGAAAGACCCCACACCCCAAACCATAGGCCATAAGCCGCAAAAGCCCTACGCCCCAGACCCTGTTGGTGAATCACGTTCCAGGTTATAAATATCATAGCACAGAAAAATCTAGATATCAAGGCTCCGTCATGCACCTCAACTCCCGAACCCTAGAACCTAACCCCAAACCCTAAACCCCTGAACCCCTAAATGCTAAACCCTAAACCCAAAAAAAAACCTAAACACCAAAGTTCAAGTTACACTTCAACTCCTAGGCCCTCCCACCGTAATGCACGGAATAAACTCCCTACTTGCAGGGCCAGGGGACTTAGTAAGTAGGTTATAAGTAGGGGTATAACTGCAGGGTAACTCCATTTAGGGTACTTGTAACTCTACTTATATCCTACTTACTAAGTCCCCTGCCCCTCCAAGTAGGGGCTGAGTACCCTAGCCCAGGAAAGGTTGACCCAGTTATGGTCGGCATATTCATAGGGATCCTTAGGGGTGTAGGGGGAGGGGGGGTAGGGGGCCTTAAGGCCCATAATAAGGACTAATAAGGCCTATTTAAGGAAATATAGTCCCCTACACCCCTCCCCCCTACACCCCTGAGGATCCCTATGAAATATATGGGTGGCTGTCAAAACTAGGGTCCCCTTTTGGGTCATTATAACCTAGTAATTAGGGTACCCCAAAAGGGGCCACAATTTTGACAACCACCCATACAAACCCCAAAAGGTGAAAGGTTACCTACTCGAGGGGCCTCAATAACTACAATAAGGTTTTGGGGCTCATTATACTGTAATTACGCATAATAAAGCACCCCCCCCCCAAGATAGTATTGGTAATTAAGCGGGCTCCTATCTGGGCTTTTAAGTAACCCGGGAGAAAAAGTGCACACTGTTGTTTCACAATGGTTCCTTTAGGAACAAAAGTACTAAAGCATGGCACCCCAGAGCCCTGCTGTAGTACTCAAACCCTAAACGCTTACGGCTTACTTGGAGGGGCAGGGGACTTGGTAAGTAGGTTATAAGTACACCAAGTAGGGTTTAAGGTTTAAGGTTTGGCCGTCCCTTCCCATGGGAGTCTGTCATCCTCGGGACCCGGACGGGGTTTCCGGGTTCTTTGAGTTGTTGAGGGTTTTTTGGCTCAGGCCAGGCCTTCCCACAGCCCCTCAAGTAAGGAATATACCTTGAATGGAAGTACGGCTGATGATATAAATCCTGAATTAACTTTAAGGACCCTAAACTATGGGAATTATATGGTATACTAGTATTACTAAGACATTCTAACACCCTAGAAACCCTAAATCCTAACAGAAAGGGAAACCAGGTAGGCCCCCGCATTCGTGTTTCAAGTGTCATAAAGCCTGTCTTGTCTACTCTCATCCTTGCATACCTGCCGGTATGATTACAGAAACACTGTTTTAAAACATCCGCTTTGTTTTAAAGCAGTCCTGTCTTCCTGCCGGACATACGACCATCGAGGCACAATAGTAATCTCCACAAACCAAAAGAACCAAAAGAACTAAAAAAACTAAAAAAACCAAAAAAACCAAAAAAACCAAACAAGCCAAAAAAAACAAAAACCAAAAAAAACAAAAATCTGGGGGACTAGTCTCCTGGAGAATTGTTTTTTTTGGTTTTTGTTTTTTTTGTTTTTTTTGGTTTTTTTGGTTTTTTTGGTTTCTGCTGCAGGTACCGCGCTCAGTGTTGCCAGTGCCGCCTTACTCCTTGGCCGCACATATTCCGGGTTACTTTTCTTTGTCTGTGCGTGTGAAAGCCAACACATGCAGCGTGAAACACACTGTATCGTACTCTATGTGTGTATGCGTGCCTGGTACACTCCCAGAAATCGGTTGGACACCACGCCGTGCTGTCGAGTAAGCTCGCACTGGTACACGGCTGTACAAATGTATTCCTGCATAACGCTGGAACGTTGGAAAGAGAAAAAAGGCTTCTGGTGCCGATGATGCCTGCCTGCAGCCTGCGACCCTGGTGCTCATGATGTTTGACTGTGATCCGTCATTTCCATGTCAAACTCGCCGTATTGAATTGCTCGCAAAGTTGCTTTCTCGAAGTCTGCAGTTCTCGTGTAGTTAGCTTTCCCTCTAGTCCTCGCCATGGCCGGTGAAGATCTTTCTTTCGACGATCTCCAGAAGACCGTTGAACCATTGGTGTGTAAGAATCTGACTACACCTGCCATCCTGAAGTTGCCCCTCGGCTTGTTCACCCCGGCTGCACTACCGTTGCAGGAAATGTCGTCCACGGACAACCCTAGCGTCAACCTCTTTGACATCATCACAGACTACCGGGGGACTATTGATGTCAACGATCTGACGAAGGCATACAAAACCGCTGTCTTGAACTCCGATTTGTCTTCGCTACCGGAGCCCTTTGGGTTTCGCGGTATTCTTGCTCGCAACACCAAGCTTCAGTTGTTCGTGTGCGAGTGTCCAGATGGCTCCAACATTATCGTCAAGCATTTCACGTGTCCGGACAAGTGCAAGCCCTCTGTCTTCTTGGCAGGAGCAAGTGGCAAGGCTTACATCTACCGTTGGCGAGCCACCCATGCCAAGGTCGGAAAGAAAATCCTTCAGTATACTTTGGAAAGCCTTGGCGGTCAGCAGTTCAAAATGTTCGAGATGCAATCCTTCTGCGCCCCCAAAGCCTCCACCAACAGATTCGAGGATAAGACGGATGAAGAAATCGATGCCGGTTTCGACTTCATTGTCCATGATGCACCGCGCTCCTCTTCAGAAATGCAGCAGCTTCGGTGGATGACAAAAACCCTCAAAAATCCACAATCGCCTATCTTCAACTGGCCCGGTGCACTTGTTGAGAAGGCGCTCCGGAACCTGAGCCAAGATGGCTCACTCGCCAAGAAGGAGATGGACTGGCCCATCCCCCTTACGTCCACCTATTACCATGGATGGGTCTTGGAGCTTCTGGAGAAGGTGTGGGATTTCGACACGTCCGCCCTCGTGATGTTGGGTGAGGCGGGTGCGGGCAAGTCACCACTGGGTCGCAGCATCTTGATGGCACAGGCCCGGTTTAACAAGGCGCACTTTGGTGCCCGCACCACCGTGTGCATTCGCTGTACGCCTGAAATTGATTTTCTCAGAGGAGAGCAAGGTAATATCACAATGGGTGACTTTCTGGATGACACATGTCTCAGCATCCTCTCTTCCAAAATGCTGAAGTCTCTGTTGGACGTGGGGCTCTACGAGGCCATGGCATGGGCTCGTTGGGGAGCTGTCAAGTGGGTACAGAATCAGCCACGAGCGGTGGCCGACAATACCTACGAGCCCATGGAACTTCCCGACGAATTCGATTTCGTCTCATCCATCTCTTTCGACAAGTTCGCGAAGTGTATCCGTCCAGCCTTCAATTCCGAAGTTTCGAAGGCACATATGGACGCTATCTTCAAGCGCACTGTCTTCCTGGTGAACAGTCCCACACATGTCTACTTCCGCAAGGCCGGCATCAACGAGGATCCTGTCCCCCGTGTAAACATAGAGCGCCCTGAATATCTCACCGAAAAGGGGCGCACCCTCTACGGCACCTTCAAGGACGGCACCCGGGCCTTCCCCCCCGACCATGCCGCACAGGTTCGTCGTGAACAAGACTGGGTGACCAAGGTTATGGAGAAGCGCTTCGATGAGAGGCGTCCCGACTACAAAGCTCGACAGGCCATCCGTCGTGGTCTCTGGGGTCCAGAACCTGCATCATCCCGCTCCCGGCCCATCTATCGTCAGGTTGATGATCTTCACAAGTCATCTACAAGGGATGCGGTCGCCGCTGCCCCCATCATCAAACGCGAGCGGGTGGAGCAAGAGGAAGCCAGCAAGAAGGCAAAGATTTGGGCCTTGGAGTTGAAAGCTTCCAACAGCGCCATCGATCTCGACTCCCCCGACCGCACGAAGGCAGCTCTCCCGTCTACCGCCGTGCCCAACCCCGAGAACATGATCAGTGACGACATGGATGTTGTCACTGAGGATGAGGCGGATGTCCTGGGCAATGGCTTCGACCTCGGTGAGCACGACAACTGAGCTTTGCTGAGGTATCGCGTAGTTTTGTCACTGCCGTCATGCTATGCCCTGGCCCTCTCTTCAAAAGAAG